ACTGCATAAGTCTATTGAATGAAGTCATCTCTGATACTGATTTTCCTGATCCACCGGTGCATTCAGGTATAGGCATTAGGAAGGTTAGCTTATCCCACAGTCTCTTAAATCTCGTATAGTATTCTGAAACAAACATACTACCTTGTGAAATAGAACTGATTTCCCGCTGTATCTGGTACAACATAGGACCATTGCAGGTTCCAAATCTTTCCTCAATCTCCATCCATAATTCCCTGGTAGTACTGGTGTATAGAAAAGCTTTAACAATTTCCTTTGAAATAGAATTCAGCAGCCACTAAGTGATCATGTAATTAACTCTCAGCCATTTATCATAAGTCGGTGAGTTTTTTTCAGGTACTTCCACACTACCATCAATAAGCCCTAATTTCATCTTAGCTCCAAGAGCAATTTTCACAGATCTGCTCCATGCCAAAAAATTCTTACCAGTTAGAGGAATAGTAACCAATGTCATTCCTGCATGATCTGAGCTATGGAGGAATAGTGGATCTGAGTTATTTATCTCAATATGCCTTCCATTTCCCTAATTCATCTGTTCGTCCCTCGTATCTATAGGAAGGAACTCAATATTCTGATTCCCAGCCATGGCAGCTTAATGTTGAGGTTTTCCTTCTTCTCCTTTAATGGATTCGTCGCGTGTAGTTCTGGAATTCCAGAATCTACCGCTCTGATACCATGTTCGAGTAGAGAAATCAACTCTAATTTTATTATACGAGCTTGAAGAAGAACTATAGATTCAGTTCGAATTTATAGAAGAAAGAAAAGAGGGTAACTAACTAAAAACAAACTTATAACAATGAAGTCCCTGAACAATGAAACATGACTAATTAAGTCCTCTTAGTAATAACTTGTACAAGAATAATCGGGAAATTGTAGGTAGCTGTTTAGGAATTTTACTCGAGGACAAAATGGTAAATACAAAAAAATATTTTTGTCAAAAAATTGGGGGACGGGGGGTGGTCCAGACCCTCCCCCTCGCCCCCTGCTTGTATGTAAATGAATTCTTGGCGTGCACAAATCGAGGTAGAAAATTTGTAGAAAACTTCTTACTACATAATCTAAGACAG